ATATATATATATATATATATATATATATATATATATATATATATATATATGTAAGTTTTAATCGACAAAGTATTACGCATTTAAGTGGATCAATGGAATTATGCAAGTGCATTAACCTCTTACGACACGAGACCCGCTATCGTTAACAGATATGTTTCATTATTGTGTATTTGGGCAATAATATGGAAAATAATGACTCAAAAGAGTTGAATGCTTATGATAGATAAAAATGCCGTTTCATAAATATCTCATCCGTTTCCTCTAGGGAGAGTGAACGTCTTTATCCGACATTCAAAACGCAAACGTGAGCGAGAGTAAAAATTGATTTTTATATATACTAAATGACCATATATCATATTTAAAAAAAGTTAAATACTCCAAATTTTTATTTTTTATATTATATTATATACTACGCAAAACTACGTAAAAACACGTATAATATTAAAATAATAAAATTTTATTCTTGTGTAATCTATTTTACATATCCTTTTTTATTTAGAAAAATAACATGAAATTTGAGTTTCAATTATTAAAGTACTAAAACTGAATAAAATTTGAATTAAAAATACAAATAAAAGATATAAAGAATTGATAACAAACAAGCAACTAATACGTTGCATAAGGAAAATTACAGTGAAGAAAAATTCTGGTTGAGACACAATAATGTTCGAATGTTTACGCAAATGAGCAACAAGTGAAACCAGGTCAGCAATCTGAGACGTTTTGCTTTCAACGGCGAATGTGGGTTAGTGAAACCTACAAACCGTTACAAGACCCAAGCGATTCTTCCTGAATTTAAGTATGTGTAATAAATATATGTAATAAAAGGAGAAGAACTTGGTGCAATTTCGATATAATCACGAGTGCATCCAAATGATATCTAAAAATATCAACCATTAGAGAAATAATAATATATCGTAAACTCGATGATGTTACGTTTATATAGTAGAACAGAGATTTATACACGAGAGAAGAAATAATATTGCATAAACAAATATATTCAAAAAAATTCCTTCATACAACTCTTTGTGTTTCACAGAAAAAATCAATATCGAAACAATCGATATTGGTCTCGTGTCATATTTTGAGAATAAGAGTTAAATAATTTGTAGAGGCAGTAGTGCGCATGCCATATTATATCAAGACGAATTATTGGCATTCTAATATTGACATCCGATTTTCCAAGAACAACGAGACATTAAAAGATATATTTTGAATTATGCAAACGTGACACTATGCAGAAAACTTTTATTATATTCAATTTTAAACTTGAACAAAAATAATGGTACTGAGCAAACTATTATTACGTTATGAGTACAATTTGGATAGAACGACAACTGCACATTCTTAATGAACCTACATTGTAAAATCTTAATGATGTACACGATGGGTCGATCGCGAGATCGAGAAAACTGTTAAATCATAGTAAAGAGATACGATATTGCATACGGCGAAAGCTTCTGAACGTGCTGTGCATTCTTACGCGAGAAGGAAGACTCGTGGCCATTCGACCAATTCCAAATTGAGAGAATCCACCACGTTTCTAGCGTGCGTACTGAATGGGATCGGTGGTAGCGACGGTGGCAGCACGACAGTGAAAGAAGAACTTTCTTCGCCACCATAAAGACTGGCTGGCTCCCGGTCGATCAGTTGGACTTCTTTGAGGAGTCAAGGTGAAAGCGCGTACCGAGCGCCGAGCGACTGAGTGATCTTCGGCGGATCATCCCGGCGCAGCCTCGTCCGTGAAATTCATTCACGGTGACGAAGAGAAGGTCGGTCCCGTCGGCTGGTCGGGCAATCGGTCGGTCAGAGAACGAAATCATCGCTAAGTGTTCGTTAGCGAGCGCGGTATATCATGCGTGTTTGCCGCGGAAACCAGCGAAACGCGTGGTGTACGGTGATGTTTCGTCGATGTGAGAGAAAAAACGTATCTGCAATTCCCGCTCATTGAACGACACTCGCGCAGCGCGAAGGAGCGAATGGCAAAATGTCGTTGTATACGTGTCGAGGCGATACCTTGATCCTGACCCTGATCGTGATCTTTCACGTATCAATACCGAGTAGAAGCCATGGATCTCGTTGGGAACTTAGCGCGATAGCGCCAGGTGACTTTACGGTGAGTATCGATTCGCTGATGATACCAAATATTATAAAAAATTCGATTTAAATGCGAAATCTAATAAAGAAACCTTAACAATATAGTTTCTTATTCTTGAGATACTAAATAGTAATAACTTTTTCACACATTGCTAATTGGGCCTCTCTTAGAAGCCAAACTGATTAAGTCCACTTTATATAAATTTGCTTTTATTTTAATACCATAGCACATGATAATTATTTTCTTAAAATTAAAGGTTGACAAAAAAGATCGACATGTTTGACTTTTAAAAAGACTCAACTTTCTTCCACAAAATATATTCATTGAAAGATTTTTCACTCTCGTTCCTTTTAAAGAAGTTCTATCACATGATCAATAACAGACAGCATATCATAAAAAAGTGGTTGTATATATATATATAATCATGCTTAATATAGCTTTCTTCGACGTATAATCGATCAACGTTCGACTCCATAGAAACTATTTGGTAAGTGAGCTGCGAGACGTGAATTCCTTCATCCTGTTATGAGTGACCGTCACAATCAATCATACATCGGCATTAAAGGATCCATCTAAATACCGTGTACACGCAACACTTACGCGCACGAGATATTTAGTTAGTCAATAGCAATGGACAATTTAACTACCCAGACCTTGACCCATAATTCTGATCATGGTTACTTTCTCCCATCGTTTATGTCGTGTTTGCGATGGAAAGTGAGCGCACTTGCCGCACGGCGCCAATCAGTTGCACGTCTTTCTTGCAGGAAGCGAGTAATTCGCAAGTTCGCAACGGGAGATTTTTGTTTGACGATTTATTTGGCATCGATGTCACGGGCAACGCTGAAGTGGACGAGGAGAAGCTGAGAAATTGCACATGCGGTAATATTTTTTTTCGTAGGAAAAATTATTTTTCCTCACGTGTATGTGTGTAACAACTATTTATCGTTAATTGTTTGTATAATATAAAATTTCTTTACATATCTGCAGTTGATAATTTATTATCGCATTGGTATATGCTATTTGTCTCGCTTATTATTTTATGATTACTATATGTCTGTGAAGTGACAATTGATCGATTCGTGATGTTATTAGTTCTTCTTTCTTTCATATGACAAAATTGTCACCAAATATTTTAATAACATTGATTCTAGAATGTGGCTTATCTAACCAAGAAAATCGAATTGTCGGTGGACGACCTACTACACCGAACAGATATCCTTGGGTCGCGAGAATTGTATACGACGGTCGTTTCCACTGTGGCGCTAGTCTGCTCAACAATGATTACGTAATTACCGCTGCCCATTGTGTACGAAGGTACATCTTTATTCATAAGCTGATACATAGTATTAGGTAAAGATGAAAGAAATAGTAAAAGTAACATTTCTACAAACAAAGTTGGTGCTATCTGGAGCGATATATCACACGTTAGTGTGATCTTCTACACTATTGAACATGTTATGTAATTTTAAACATTAGAACACGTTTCATCGATGTTTCAATCGTCCCAAAAAATGCGAAAGATCATGATACTAAGTGAATTTCACAGGTTGAAGCGATCCAAGATTCGCGTGGTACTCGGCGATTATGACCAATACGTGAATACCGACGGGATTGCCATAATGAGAGCAGTGAGCGCAGTAATCCGTCACAGGAACTTCGACATAAATTCCTACAATCATGACGTAGCGTTGCTGAGACTCCGTAAATCGGTGAAGTTCTCAAAGAAAGTCCGTCCGGTCTGCCTGCCTGGATCAGGTATACCATGTGATCAAATGATCAACCGCGATTACGCTTTACGTGATTGCACATGCGTAGCACTATCGATACGACGTTTCAACAGATACCGATCCCGCTGGAAAAGAGGGAACGGTGGTGGGATGGGGTCGAACGTCGGAAGGAGGCATGCTGCCCGGGAAAGTGCACGAGGTGCAAGTACCGATATACAGTTTGACGCAGTGCCGAAGGATGAAGTATCGAGCGAATCGTATCACCGACAACATGATCTGCGCCGGTCGAGGTAGCCAAGATTCTTGTCAAGGTGATAGTGGCGGTCCACTTCTCGTCGAGGAAGCCGATAAACTTGAAATTGCAGGTGAACATACGCGCATGTATCTTACGTAACGTGTTTGTCTCAGAATGCTTCAGACAACTGTGTTAGTTACGTAAACAAAGTTCTCGTAAGATAAGCTCTTGGAAATCATTGTCATCATATGTTTCCATCGTAAGAGAGAGGAAGAGGGAGAGAGAGACTTATATGTTATACACGTGTTCGATAGGTATCGTGTCCTGGGGTGTGGGGTGTGGGAGACCCGGTTATCCCGGAGTCTACACAAGAGTGTCCCGGTACCTCAAATGGATTCACACAAATATGAAGGACGGTTGCTTGTGCGTCAGTTGAAGACCTGCTTTCATTTCCACTCTGTGTATAAAGTTTAAAGGAATGAACCGCGGTTGATGCTGTTTCACATTATTACTTATATATGGAAAAAAAATTTAGTTGGGTTAATCAAGCATCTGATGAAATGTGGACGAAGTAGAATTTTGACTTGAAATTATGAGAATAGGGCAGATTATTTCTGCTATTTTCCAACAAGTTACAGAACTAAGCAAATAAAAAGAAAAAAAGATTTACTATTCGATAATAGATTATTAAGCATAGTTCCTTGTATAGCAGCCATTATTTCAAAGTTAGCGTTAATATTAGCCGCAGCCTGAATACGTGAAATGGATGGTATAAAAAACACGTGGCATCTTTGTAGAGCATTTTTTTGTAATCCAAGTACAATGTAGAGCGCAACTATGGTTAGAATTCGCGCCGCAAATTTCTATCGCACCAGCCTCGTACGAATAGCGGTCGAACGTTTCCGGAATAATCAGCGACTGGTAACGGTTTACTGTCAAACCGGCCTAAAGTCAACGCGCGAAAACGTCTTTGTCGTGGCTAATTAGGATATAATTAATAACAAACGTGATTTATTATTTAATCGATCGTTCATAGTAATTATTACATGTATATTGTACGATAAGCATGTAAAAGAATATTTGAAAGTACATGAATTTTAGGCGTTTAGACGTTATACATATACACACGTATTTTTTATTATTCCCTTCCGATATCTTCAAATTCCGCACCGGTGAGAGAGTAAACATTTTTTGCGATGCCAATTTTAAACTGGAAAAACGTGCGAAATCTTAATGACGCCGTTTCATCGACTCCTTCCGCTTGTTTGTCAAAGTCCAGGCTAATGATGGCTACAATGCAGTTGAAAAACCTGTTTCTTCAACCGAAACTTGGAAATAATATTTGCCATTGGCATGAGATAACGAAGTCGGTGCAGACGACTATTAATTAACTCCACAAAAATTTATGTTATGCGAAACATCATAAGTTTTCATCGGAAGTGGAAATATACAAAGATTTCGTGGTTATACCAGCAAGACTGTATCACGTTCTTCAAAAGCAACCTGACTGTTAATACGTATAGTTTGAGACTGAATTTCTGGTCGAACGGTACCGGATGACGCATCAAGCGCGTATGTGCATATAAAAAGATACAGATAAACGTCCACGTGTATAACCTTTCCTTACGCTGTTCTCTTCCTGCATTATGCACTCTCATCTGCTCTTCGGAATGCGCGGCCGACATTTATCGCGCGCGCGCGCGCGATTCCCTTCGTAAAATCATACTTTTCATTACTTTAAGTAAATTTTCCTAAGAGACTTGTTTAAAGATTAAACAAGTCTCAAGATTAAACAAGATTAAACATTTCGAATAGCAAATTTTTCTTGCTTCAATACTTCAATACTTTTATTTTTCTTGCTTCAATACTTAGTTTCGTCAATTTATTTATCCTTTGCTGAAGAAGCTGATTTACAAACAGAGAGAGAGAGAGAGAGAGAGAGAGAGAGAGAAAGAGAGAGATGTTTTTAATATATAATTTGCTAAAAAATTATGTTTTTTATATTACAAAATAATAAATAATTATTTTTTTCATCATTGCTTGATCTTTCTTTTTATCAATTAAAGTGTTAATAAAATTACTGCGGAATAAAAAGCACGAAAAAGTTCTTTTCGAGCGCTATAATTAATAGCAAGATTTCTCGAAGCAGGAATCACGATATCGAAAGCATCCACTTAGTATGATAATTTTTCGATACCGTCGTGGCCCTGATGACGGTCGATAACAGTCATCCGTGATTCGACCCTGAACATGAACGTGAACTGGTCAGGTACCGGCTGGTCGACTGTGCCCTCCTTCCCTTCCGGAATAGCAATTACCTCTACGACCTCAGTCCTCCTCAGTCGCCGTAGGACACCGGCGATAGTCGCTCTCAGTCAGGGACATGTTCATGACCCGTTCCTGACGGTGCCACCGTGTGGCGACTCCATCACTCAAAATATTCACAAGAGAAACCGAGTCCGAGTTAAAAGTGTGCAATTATCGGCGTCAAGAAGTTCAATCGAAGAAAGCATGAAGAGTCTGTACTATCTGGGTTTACTGTTTATTCTGCTTTCAACAACGAAAAAATGTCAGGTAAGAATGAAATTCTCTGCTTATATACTTTCTCCCATTAATTTTCGCGAGCTGTGTCGCAGTACAATATCTTTTTCGCGAAAACATTATTACGGAACTTTGTATAATTTGCACGTTAGAATTTTATGAGAAAACGTTGTTAAAAATTTATTATTCGAATCTTATCACACAATAAAACAATTACAATTCAGATATTTATGTGACGAAATGTTTCATTTAAATCATTTTAATACTTTGTCAAAGTTAAAGAAAATTCAACGTGAGAGAAACAATTGTAATAGTAATATATATTTTACACTATTAAATGGTGAAACATTGATATAATTTCTTTCAATAAATTTTCAATAAAAATTAGCTCGACAATGGCGTTAGTTCTATTTGATTGGAAAGCTACTATATTAAAATATATGGAAGTGTCGATTATGTTTTTGAGAATTATTTCGTCGGCAAAATGATTACCAGCAAAATAATCGCTGAATAACGTTACTTTAATCTCAGGCTGGCGTATTCAGCGACAAAATGAAAAACTTCTTCGGACTTTTCGGCAATAAGCCGCCTTCTTCCGACGAGCCACCTGCGCCTTGCTACTGTAGTGAGTAATATTAATTTTCGTATTACTGTGTTTATCTTCACGCATATTGGCAAGGTTAACGCTGTTGCAAAAAAAGTGTACTGTACAGCGATCGATGCTATCTAGGTTGCGGACTACGGAACGAAGAAAGTCGCATAGTTGGAGGCCAGACGACAAGCATGAATGAATTTCCATGGATGGCTAGGTTATCGTACCTAAACAAGTTTTATTGTGGAGGCACGCTTATAAACGATCGCTACGTGATCACCGCTGCACACTGTGTGAAAGGGTAAGTACAACTTGCAAGTGTTTTCCGTATATTGTGTGGGTGTGAGTGAAATTAATATTTCATATTAAACGATCTCTCTTAGCTCCAATTGTTGCGCGACATTCGCCGTGAAGATCTCTCTTAATGTTTGCTTGTTTGACGATTTTCTCGAAGCCAAAACACTCCTGAGACTCAAACGGGTAGATTCTATTATATATTTTTTCGGAGAGTGGTACGAAAAAAATTACGCACTTCCAAAATTAAATCCCGTATAAAATATACGTGTGCAAATACATCAAAACTGGATAGTCAACAAATTAGTATAACTGTATAAGCATAAAATTGCTACTCGCGCTGTTGGTATCATCTACTAGATACGCAAACAGGTCGAACTTCATATTTGCATTCTCAATTAGTACAAATAGTATCACGTTATAAGGAAAACGCTCGGTGCCGTTAACCCCATTACGCTCCAAGAATACTAAATGGCTTCATATTAACAATTAGAATTTTTTATTATCTATGCAAATAATTTGTCATTATAAAGTTATTTATTCGCATGTTATCTCATATCAGTTATTATAAATTATTTAAGACCAGTGTAGAACAAATTTCTTAAAGAACTTGTCACAGGTTCGTTCACGTCTCATATTTTCGATGTTAAAAGCTTCATAACTCATTTTACAATATTAGTTGTTAGACGAAACGATTCGACTAATTTCTTTTCATTCACCCGTTTTCATTAATTTCTCATCGTAGCCTTGCTTGTCAAGCGAATGTGATCGGTTCTTCTAGTCTTATTTTCAGATTCATGTGGTTCATGATTAAGGTCACTTTCGGCGAACACGACAGATGTATCGAGAAAGGGGCGGAAACTAGATACGTGGTACGCGTCATGACCGGTGAGTTTAGTTTCCTGAATTTCGACAACGACATCGCACTTCTTCGTCTGAACGAGAGAGTGCCGTTGAGCGACACGATCCGGCCGATATGCTTGCCGTCGATGTTAGGTAAGTACAGTATTTTCACTTCTTTTTATATATAGACGTAGAGTCGACTCCAGTAAACCACGAAACTAAAAATAGACAGATCGTGAAAAGGGAAGCTTTCCAGAAATGTACGTCAACGTATTTAGCTGTATTTAAATTCATCACGATAAGCCCTCGTGATATCTGTCGTAGACATTGTCTCACGTGACAAATACATTGGCGACATCCACTTTCGACACTCATCGCGCACAATTTCAGGCCTGGTCGACATTCAATTGGCGTATCCGCGACCGTAAATTTCGACCGATGCAGTTTTTCATAGTCGAGCGTAGTATTGGACAATGCTCCGTGCGATCCACGACTAATCGTCGCGTTGCTCATTACGTGACGATTACGCGATAACCGAGTCATAAATCAGTCGGGTATACGGGTACCTACTGTCGGGTGTAATACACCGTTGCGGCGTATAACTGCGTAATAAAGAAGATTTCTCTGAAATCGAGGACTTAAATTTGCATTTCGAGCGTACGCGATAATCTTTTCTGAATTTGTTAACGCGACACGCTCACGAGCATTGTTTGTTGTTTGCAGTATGCATGTATTCGTACTGATAATGTAACAATCTCATAAAAATATATCGTATATGCATACAATTATATTATCAAAATCGAATAAATAATCTGAACAAATATTTTATAACTAAGAAAAATATTTCGCAATCGTCGTTTTCTTCCTCATTGTGCATTTGTCGAACGTGGAATTATATTTCAGACAACCAGTATGAAGGGACAAAAGCGATCGCTTCAGGTTGGGGTACGTTGCAAGAGGACGGCAAACCTTCTTGCTTTCTTCAGGAAGTGGAAGTACCGGTCATGAGCCTCCAAGCTTGCCGCAATACTAGCTACAGTCCTCGAATGATTTCGGACAACATGTTATGCGCAGGTTATCTGGAAGGAAAGAAGGACTCATGTCAGGTAATCAATCCATCAACTTTATTACATATGCGCCCAACACGTGATGAAAGTGAAAGATTCAAGTGAAAGATGTAATTATGATCAAAGTTGTCAAGGGCTACATGAAAGATACATACTGCAATGCATTAACATGATGCGTGATATTAATAATATATTTTATACGAGGCAAAAGAGAGAAAGAGAGAGAGAGAGAGAGAGAGAGAGAGAGAGAGAAAGTATTTAACTTTACTGTGTGACGACATAATTATGTTATGTAATATCGAGACGAATGCACGGCGGGCAACACAAATTTTTTTTTCTTTTTTACATTATAGGGAGACAGTGGCGGACCTTTGATAGCGGAGCGCGAAGATAAAAAGTACGAGCTCATCGGTGTGGTGTCTTGGGGTAACGGATGCGCGCGACCTGGATATCCAGGTGTATACACGAGAATCACGCGGTACATGGATTGGATTTTAAACAATTCAAAGGACGGCTGTTTCTGCGAGCATAACTGAATATGATTATACGGCGTCTCGTAATGGAATATATGACAAAGCACAAAGGTAGTTTGTACTTACTGTTGTAAAATACATTCTGAAATCGCGCCATACGTTCAGAAAGAGAGAGAGAAAGAGAAAGAAAGAGAGGGAGGGAGAGAGAGAGAGAGAGAGAGAGAGAGAGAGAGAGAGAGAGAGAGAGAGAGAGAATGAAAGAGAGCGACCGACCGAGCGAGAGAGAGAGAGAGAGAGAGAGATTATGTTTGGAGTTGAGGACGATCGACATAAATTTTTCGAGAATACTTTTCGTACGATATAAATTTATTATTATTATTAGGTACACTGTTATTATCTCCTGTATTATATAATATCTGTTAAGCGTCACAAGAACGTCACTCGATAAACAAATAGGTGAAAACGACATTAATATTTCATAATGATGTTAGTTAGGTCGGCGGGAGAAGAAAGTTTGCAGAAACAATAATACACCATACAATATTTCGACATTGCTCAAACATAGCCAAAGGCTAAGATACTTAATTTCTCGCCGCGAAGAAAATCAATCAAATTATATATAGTGAGATCAAGATTATAGGTTTAAGCTACCAGTGTCATACCTTTTTATGAAGAAGTGTTTATTGTTATGATACTTTTTATATACGAGAAATACTTAATAAACATTTGCATGAATTACAAATGATTTTATGTATATGTTGTTTTGGTAAATTCTAATATTGAGTAAGCATTCTGTGCCAAAACTTATTTTCTGTATTTTGATGTTTGCGTTACTTTTACATTTCACAGATATCTCGGATGGATTAAATGTTAAAAATATTCAGGAATTAAAAAAAGTAATATAAGAAATAAAAGTTATTTCCCGAATATAATGTTGAGTCGCGATGTGAGAACATTGTATATTTTCAAATGAGTTATTTAAATTCTCATAAAAAAAATATATTAATAACTTCGTAAGAAATATTTTACGCAAAGTATACACATACAAATTACGTGACATATATATATATATATATATATATATATATATATATATATATATATATACACACACATATATATTTGACATTTCTAATATTCCTTCATATATATGTAGTGTTATTTAATTATTCTTCTGTTATAGTATTATAAAAAGCTTTGGAATTGTTTTATAAAAATTATTTCTTACATGTTTAGGATGCTACTATTTTACGATACTATAATAACAATACGATCATAAATATCACAAACATTAAACGACATCCCTAAGAAGATAAATGCAGACATTTGTATCACGCGTAGGAAGTTTATTCCTAAATCTCATGCTGACGAAAAGAATTTCGCGACACCGGGAAACGTGTAACGGTACCGACGGACCGGTTGCTAACCGTGTTTCAGGCCAAAATGAAACATACAAAGCGAAATGGGTATTCCGACGTTGAACTCACAAATGCGAACTTGGGCACGAACGTGGGACGCTCGGTCTTCATTTACGATCTTGGGAGGTTCCCGGGATGCGGGCGACGATAGTACCGCTATACGAGACAAACAAGTTGCTTAAACGAGACCAGTATCGCCTCGACTACCGACAGTAAAGTCATGAAGCTGCAAAACATCGTCAAGTACTTAGTTTGCATCTCGGCAATAAATTTAGGGACAACTTATTGCATCGAACGCGTCATCGATTCTTCCGTAAGCCACTTTGCATATTAATTTACTTCAAGATTATTGAGAGCTACTTTCGATATTTTTTTCACAGTATATTTAAATTTTTATTCAAATATCTTTTTCGCGGGAGAAAGCTAAAAAAAATTAAAAATTACTACCAATATTGAAAAGAGGATCGTATAAAGTGCATAAAAATTTTTATATATCTTTATTGATATTCATTTGTTGCTCAAGATTAATAATTGGACTGGCTCAAGACATGAACGCGGCGTTCTGGACTTGTTGTTTGGAGGATTTCGATCGTGTGGCGTCTGCTGTAAGTAACTTTGATTATTATTTTGTCATTAAGAAAGCACGGAATTATAATTTAACGAATGCTATGATTGTTGGTAATTTCATATTGCAATTATTCCGATCATTTGCCGCATCTTCATCGACATCTTGTGTTTCTGCAGTATGTGGCAGGACAAATCGCAAAGCAGCGCGGTTGTTGGGCGGTGAGAATACGGAATCTCACGAGTTTCCCTGGCTCGCTAATATTCACACAAGCTCCGGATTATTAGTTAGCGGAGTGCTAATAAACGATCGTTACGTCATGACAGCAGCTAGCGAGCTCGTCGGGTTAGTGCGGGTTAGAGTTGTTTCAGTCGCTAATATTGAATATCGCGGAGTAACTCAATATATTGTCTCGTTAACAACTAATTTGTTGGACATTTGAAACATAAACTAACATTTCTCTCGACAGATTAACTGCACCTGAAGTAAAAGTATCTTTGGGAGAATACGACCGATGCACGTTCGACATTTCGTCGGTGAATATTAGCGTCGAATCCATAACTTTGCATCCAGAGTTCAATCCGGAGGCACACACTCACGATTTGGCTTTGATTCGTCTGAGTCGACCGATCAAATTCGAGAAGAGAATATCGCCAATATGTCTACCCAACCCAGGTCAGTTCTAATTTACAGCGCGATTGGATAATATAAGAGAAAAAAAAAGATTACAAGATTCTGAGGATTTCGATTTTTTATATTACAGGATCAACCTATCTTGGCCAAGTTGGCACTTTGGTAGGTTGGACCGTGAGCAAAATTGACGATAACGCTAACGTTCGGACATGCAGACCGCGAAAACTGGGACTTCCTATTTTGGGATACAATGAATGTATCAAGTCGGGAATAAATCCGATGAATTTCAACGACGATTACGGATGCATTGGAGTTGTAGGCACAAGTTCTCTAGTGTGCGAGGTAAATAGGAATTATAAGTGTATTATGTTGCAGTCTTAAACTGTGCGAATAAATCTAATAGGTCATATGAAATATCATATAACAATTTGATAGCATCTTTAACTTAAACTTTAATCTTAAACTTTCTATTTAAATGCAATAATTTCGACACATTGCGATAAAATTATCATAAAATGTGGACGATTTACGAATTATGCAACTATTCATCGTACTAAAAGTGTTACTCACTTATAGAATGACGTCGGATCTTCCTTGCAATATCGTTCATACGCTGGAATTTACGACCTCATTGGTAAGTACGACGACAATTCGTCAACCGCAACTAATATAAAAGGAAAATATTAGAATGACAAAATACATCGAGTTGATATTAATCTGACGTACAAATAATGACTCAAATAATGACGTACAAATAATGAATAAAAGAAATTAAAAAGAGAACATTTCTCATCATCTTAATCTTAGATTTAATTTGATGAAATGTCATTGACAAAATTTACTGCATTACAGGTATTATTCCGAGTGTGAATAAATGCGACAACACTCCTAGACCAACCGTCTTTACGAGAGTGGGCCCACGACTCGATTGGATATTACAACATACTAAAGATGCGTGTTATTGTACAAAATAACAACAGCCGATCCCACGATAAAAAATATTATATATATTACATAATATATTATAATATAATGTTTTATCATTATTATCTTCACCGCTATACTTTAGAAAGTACACAAAACCAAAAATCACTTGTTTAAAATACATGTATAACAATTGCAATTATTGTACACATATACATGTAAAAAAATATAAAAATTATTTTTTATCAATCAGCATATTTTTTTAAACAAGTTTTTTGACACCGTTTTTTTAAACAAGAGAATTTTTACAACACTAAATATGTGAATCGTCGTATATTTTTTCGAACATCTTGACTCAAAATTAACGAAAAATCACATACTTAAATTGTTCTCACATCTTTATGTGATCTATTACTTAAAAAAAAAAGAGTTTTAACCTTATTATCTTATCTAGGAGTTATTAACGTTTATCACGACCGCAATTCACGATAGTTTCCTTGTATAACCTACATGACTATCAAGCTATAAAAATATGCAAGTCTCGCACGTGTCAGTTCAGTGAGACACGTCTTAGCATAAAAGTCACGAGTACTTCTTCAATATTACACATGCAGTGCTTTATATTGTTTAGCCTGTTGTATTTAACACTTGGGTGCGTAAACGCTATACTGTGGCGGCAAAATCGGCAAACGGATACGTTTTACGGAAGCAGCAATCACGGATGTGGTAAGATTTGTTCCGATTGAGTCGCAATTTTTTATGTAAGGAGTAACGAAAGGAGCATAAGAACAGCAAAATTTTTTCCACTAAATATAAAATATCACGCATCGTGTTCGCTCACATCAAAACTACTATATCTATTGATAGTATCTATTGATACTAATATTAGTATCAACGCTGCTGCGCAAAATTTGAGACGACAACAATCAACAGGTTGGAGTAGTTTGCACGAGAAAGGTTAAAAAATGTTTGTAATGTACCGTAAATGTAAATGTAATTGACTTTAAATTAAATCTTTATGAGGATATTATTTATACGATTATACCATATGTTTTAGAGTGCGGTAAGAAAAACCTTTTTCGGGCGGAGTCCAGAATAATTGGGGGACGGGAAGCTTTCGAAAATGAATTTCCCTGGATGGCCGGTATCATAAGTGTCAACAAATCATTATTGATATGCGGAGCGTCAATCATAAACGATCGTTACGTGGTAACAGCGGCCCATTGTGTCCCTTATGGGTACGTGTATATGTTATATATATATATATATATATATAAATTTTTGCTACATGTTTAACAAATCTGTAGCTTCAAGACTTAACGACTCGATTGGATATTACAGCATACTACTGCGTGTTACTGTACAAAACAATAACA